CCTTTTCGCTGTCATCTACAACAGTACATAACTTCCCAGATCATAACAGCTCTAAAGAAAACCTTCAACATACCAGCTCTTCCTGCACATTAAGTAAGAGGCCAAGGAAAACAAAACCCTGCAAAACCCAAAAACCAAAGCCAGACAGCTCCCAAACATATTTCCACTGATTTTTAAGATGTAACACGGGGCAAGACAGTCTGAGACAAGCACATATATAACATATGCTTTCAATTATTTTCATGCAAACATGAAGTTTACAAGAACAAAATAAGTATGGCAGATTCCATTTTAGAAGAGAGTTCAATTTCTAGGCCTGAGATTCTAAAACTCAACCCTTCAGCTTCCCAAACAGATCTGACCACTATAAAAACAAGATCAAAGGGAGCAAAATTTCAGATCAACAACAATATTGGCTCCACCACCTCCCTGGAGCTTTCATCCTTTGAGAGGTTTTCCTCACCACTCCATCACTCATACATGCAAGGTAGGATTTCCTGTGTTTTGCCTGCACACAGAAAACCAGACTCCCCCTCCCACCCTATTATGGATTTGCTGTCCCTTTTGTCCAACCCTTCTGCATCTTGGACACAAATTCATTTTAAGAAGCTGCATTTCTTCAGCTACAGCGAGCCTCATTGCCCCAGACCCCCTGATGAGGGGCTAACCATGGTCCACACACACTCCAGGGGAAGCCACCACACTGCCTATTCCACACTGCTGGCTCCAGCTTCTTGGAGAAGCAGCTGCCTATCACTTCCTAGCCTCCACCACAGGCCTTGGCTCAAAGCCACCCTCATGTAAAAAGTCTTGCATTTGGAAATGGATTTAACAAACCACCTAGCAGTTCATAAGCATAACAAGAATGTGCAATATCTAAACAATCAGCAGAGAGTTTCATCTGTTTCCAGATGGTTTCCCCCCCATCAGCTCAGTAGAGGGTTTGCATTTTTCAAATGAAAGTTGTCTTGCAAGACTGCATTAGCATTGTATGCAAGAGTTCTCTAATATTGATGAAAGCTTGTGTATATGATAATAAAAATCTTACTATTTTTGCAGCCATAGCAGGAAAATATTGACACTTGTCCATCCAGCTGAGCTCACGACTGCATTTAAATTTTTAGGGGCTGCAGTAAGTTGCCCCTACAGTCCACAGCATTTAACTTCCATGTAAGCCCTTTTCTCACTCAGACTGTAAAGCATCTTCTATTCCTAATCCTGCCTCCAGAACACTGTCCCTTTTCATTACAAATAATGTTTTACAGAGCACATACTGTATGGAGCACAGAATCATAGAACTATTAAGGCAGGAAAAGATCCCCAAGATTATCAGGTCCTACCTTTCACTGATCACCATCGAGTCAACTAGACCAGAGCACTAAGTGCCACATCCAGTCTTTTCTTGAACACTTCCAGGGATGGCAACTCCACCACCTCTCCAAGAAGCCCATTCCAATGTTTAACAACACCTTCTGTGAAGAAATTTTTTCCAGATGTCTAACATCAACATTTTCCAGTACAGTTTGTGGCCATTTTCTCTCTTGTCCTGTCGCTGGTTTTCTGGAAGAAGAGGCTGACCCCTACCTGGCTACACCCTCCTTTCAAATCACTATAGAGAGTGATAAGGTCTCCCCTGAGCTTCCTTTTATCCAGGCTGAACACCCCCAGCTCCCTCAGCCACTCCTCACAGGACTTGCGTTCCAGACCCTTCCCCAGCTCTGTTGCCCCTCAATGTCTGTCTTGCAGTGAGGGGCCAGAACTGGACACAGCATTCGAGGTGTGACCTCACCAGTGCCCAGCAGAGGGGACAATCCCTGCCCTGGTCCTGCTGGCCACATCATCACTGGTCCAGGCCAAGATGCCACTGGCTTTCCTTTTGAAAATATAGCCAAAAGTAATTTATTATTTCTTTAAAATAGTTGAATAATTGAAAAAATGGTAAAAGTCTTGTTTCCCTCCTTTATAGAGTTGATCTGTCCACATATCCCTAATAAAAGAACTGATAGATAATTCACTATAACAACTGCCAGTCTTTGCAAAAGAAATGGGAAATTCCTATCAATTTTGTTTCCAGATCAGAGGCAAAGCATCCTTGTAAAGATCCTCTTATGAGATATGCTGATTTTATCTGTTCGCTTTTAGAAAGTTTATTGTAGATAATTAGCTGCATAGATTTGGGAAGATGCACTACACGCAGTTGCTTTTAATTCCAGGAATTTAAGAAACATGGTAAGTGCCCCTACAAGTGTTTAAGAAATTCCCTTCCATCACTATTTTTCTTTAGAAGTTCAGAATAAATTTGGGGAAACGAAAGATTCTAAATTCATTCTAACTTGTTCCACAGCGTAGGAAGTATTTAAACAACCTTGACAAAAATGCCACTGATTTTATTCTAAACAGAATTTTTGGAACTAAATTCAAGTTGCCAAAACAAGAGCAGCACCTTGGATATATTCCTTTCTTGTGTAATAGTGAACTTCAGTCTTCCTTGAAAACTCCTAAGGAAACATATGGATAATTTCACAGAGAAGTCACAAACCAAAGGCCTACAGAGGAAAGTAATAATAAACAATATCCTCTTCTCTTCACTCATCCCATTAGAATAGCAACAGAATATAAACTCAGCAAGAGAGTAATTGGTCATCCTGATAGTAAAAGTCAGCACAGAATTCCAACTTCACAGTATTAAGGTAACAAAAGAAAATCACAAAACTCTCATTCTAATTTGCTACAAAGGTGAAGTAAAACTTGTCATTTAAAACTGCACAATGATGTGCAATTTCTGCCTTTTTTTTTTAGGAGTATACACAATAGAATCTCATTACGTGAGTCCAAAACTGCTTGGCAGCCATTTGAGGGCAATGTGCTAGCGTTTGTGGTGAGAGGGAGGAGGAAGAGGAACGCCAAAACGCAGGAAGTTACATGAAGGATCTGTAGTGCTGTGTGCTTGATTTTAATCAGTCAGGGTAACATTGATGTCACAAAGTCACAGCTAAAATAATTTCTTACTGCTCTGTAGATGCAGTACCTTCCTGAAAAGCACTAGGAAGTTGTACCTTTTGCAGTCTGCCAGGTGTAACTCAGCTTATTCCCACATAATTTCATGTATCTCAACTCCTTTCAGTAACTGGATGATCCAATGCATGACTTTGAATTCCTTTTTACCAAGAACACTCCAAACACTCACTGCAAGAAGCACTGCCAGCAGGAATGCTAAACGTGCTTTTGTTTACAGTGGTGGTCACCACTGTACCCTGGGAGGCAAGAGTAAACCTCTCACACTGTTAAAGTTTGGTCAGTTCCTCATCATTCTCCCCGTATCCCTTTTGAGCTACATTTTCTGCAGGAGATACAAAAGTTTAAGGTAGGGGCACTTCCCACGTTGTCGCTTCTGGGACTGCCAACTGTGAGTTTTTTGGTTGTTTAAAGCCCAGCCATTCTTCAGTTGGGTCAGCATTCAGAAAAGATAGTGTTGTCATTAGCAGTTGTCCTGTGCTAATTCTTCTGTGCCCCAAGTTTTTCCACATCATTCAAAATTCACTACACAAGAACTTCCTCATCTCCATGCCACCATCTTCCAACACACAAAAATGTCACATTACCTCCACAGATGTTCATGCCTACATCTCTTTGACAACTCATATTGCTCAGCTGCATGTTTAATAGCAATTTTATTTTTGAAATAAAATAGAACAATAAAAGCTTTGCTGATGTCATCTGACTGAAAAATAAAGAGATCTTCAGCATTTTGAAACTAGGAATATTGGAATTTTTTAAATGTTGTTTAATTTTGTTTAAATGCCATTTTAGTTGGGAGTATATTTTCTGAATTTATATTATTTCTACATGGCAAACATCCCCATTCATCAAAGACAAAAACTACTTATCAGTGATCAACATACCCTGCCTGCTCAACTGAACCTGCCTCCAGCTGTGACACCAAGGAGACACTTTACCAGTGGCTGAAAGATCCGGCTGCTGCTGCTCCAGGAACTGGGGACACCACAGAGCACATAAATCCTGCCCAAGTTCTGACCACAACCCAAACACTCACCATACCCTGCCTCTGCTGGTGCTGATAACAAAGCAGTCCCCCCTCAGCTCCCTGCAGCCCTTTCCAACCTCCACAGAACTCCACACCAGCTGGAATTGCATCCTGCAAGGACAAGCACACAGCAACACTCCCAGATGCCTGTGGATCAGGAGGCCATTTGCTGTTAAAACTAATTTGTTTGCAGGGCTGCCAGCAATCTAAACTGACATTTCACTAACCCCACCACTTGTGTTTAAGGGACAGCTCAGCATCTGAGGAGCTAAAATTTTAGCTGAACAGCATTTAAATACAGTTGCTTAAATGAGGGGGAAAGTGCTTTTAAGAGGCCAAAAATCTTTTTAGGAGTTGTTCTAGCTTAATCCATAGGGGTAGGCAAACATTTGTGTTACTCTAGCAATACCTAAAATATTCACTTTTCTAGGAGTGAAAAGAGAATTTTTAAAAACAGATGTTACCCTTTCCAACAGTGTTATGTACTATGTAAAATCACAAATATTTTTTCTGAATAGATATTGTAGCTAACAGTTTGTGAAAAAAAAAGGTGGAAACTAGAAAAAGATGTAACAACATTGCTTCCCAGACTGAAGACAGTAGCGAAACATTCGCTTTAAGGCAATTAACAAATTATTAGTGCATCCCAGTGGTTTCAATAGCTGAAGTTCTTTAATGTGACATAAGAGTAAGGAAACTCCCTAAAGTAGCACTGTGATTGGTATTCTACAATACACATTTGTTCCTCAGCTTGGAAGCCTGCAATTTTGTCACAAATATGCTCTTGAAAAGCATTGCAGAATTGGATAAACTAGAGGAAAATACTGTATCATACAAAATTCAACAGTTTGCCATTTTAGCCAATAAAATTTCAGCTAATATAAGCAACTAGATTGCAAAAAGGAACTGGAATTAATTCAAGTAATGATGACAGGCTAGGACATATTAAAACAAGAAAAAAATTCCTTAATAAAACCCACTGATTTGGAGAAGCCTCTGCTTTCTATAAATCTGTCTACACACTCATACAACATCTTTGGGAAAAAAAGGCTTTAAAACAGAGAGTGGTACTCACCTGTAAATTCTTCCTGTTGCTATCTACCTCAGCTCTCCTGTAAAGGTTTTGGAAAGAAATAAAATTATTCTATTGATTAAGAAACACGATAAAACCATACTTTAAAAAAAACATAAATCAACAATACTCTGCTTCAACAGCACCTACATTGAAATTGCCATGCTGGTCAATCTTGTCTTACAGAAGAAACAGACAAAATACTTATAGAACTGGGGTTTTTTTAAATTATTGCCTATTTTTATTAAAGTTTAGGAGCAGCCATTCAAAAACCTATTTACTGATTTCGGAAACAGAAATGCTTAAACATTTTTTTTATGGTCTTAAATCATACAAAATAACTGTTTCAGCTCCGGGCATGCTCTGCATACAGCCTCACAAATTGCTATAAATGTGGTTTGGAGACAAACTGAATCTGATTGCAGCTTGTTACAGATGATCCAACAATGTAGAAACAGTACCATGGCCATATTAAATGTATCTAACTTCAAACTCGGCTCTCTGAGGCAGGGACTGACCCAATGACCCCCAGAGACCCTTTCATTGTAAACTATGCTGTGAGTCTATGAATGGAAACTGAAAACACATGGCAACACTTTTTTTTTTTTTAATGTCAATGTTTTATTATTCTATTTATAACTCAATAGTGCCCTCTGCTGATGTTTTTCTGCTTGGTTATTTGCATGGAAAAATTGTGAGGGTATGTTATGGGAATATGTTAACGCTTGTCCTGCAAATGAAGGAAGGAAAATTGCACAATGTTCTTGCTTCATATTCAGTCAGCACAGGGCAGATAATGTAAATTATCAACACCTTTACCAGATCAGTTTGGAAAGATTGTTTGGGTATTTAAAGTCAAATCAGGTCTCTTCACCCTCTGCCATTAAAATTTAGGATATTTCACAGCAGCCTTCAGAGCTACAGAACAATCCTACCCAGAACACAGAAAAACCCCCAAAAATAACTATCAGTCTCCCTTGCTAAAACAACAGGAGATGCATGCAGGTAACTTGAAAGAGAAGATAAAAAGTGTCATGATAGAGAAGCCTCTCAAATCTGGAATATCAGAATTAGCAACTATTCATCTTCACCTGTGTGAGATGTAGTTTTACATACACAAAACTATGCAAATGTTAGAGAAAAAAGCTTATTATAATCTCTAGTAAAGAAAGGATTTTGTTGTAATTTATTGTCTTTACCCTTGGCTGAGTCTACTTAGGAAGGCACCATCAAAGCTGCTTTTAAGACAATTTAAATGGATGTATGTTCAAAACAAACATTACAACACACAACAGATTCTCCAAACACTTGTCAGGATTATGACTTGGTGTTTTAGAATTTTCTCAGTTGTGTGAGAATTAAATTTTATTAAAACTGCTATAAAGGTTTGTAAAATAAAGTCAAAGTTCTCTCTTCAAAATATTCAGTCTACTTAAATTTAATTTCTAGGCAAAATTATTGTTTTTTTCCAATTTTACATTCATTTCTAAGTTTTTAAGTGCTTGCTCTTATTTTTAACATATAATTTCTAAACATGTTTTTTCTTTTGCATTCCTACAGTCTCAATGGCCAGTAAGAGTTCCTACCAAACCGACTGTATTCACTAGTTAATCAGGAATAATTGCCTATCAGCAATCACTATGATTGAACCATTCTAAGGGCAAGTATACAAGTATTTTCATAATAGAGGTAAGATAGTAAAAAAAATATTTGCAGAAGCGAGATGGCCATTCACACATACATGAACTCAAAGGATTTTAGGTATCCTTCGTAGAGTCTAGATGCCTTTCATAAACATTTGTTTACATAGAAGTGATCTGTTTACATGCCCATGGAAAATAAAAATTACACTAAAGAAAGGTAAACGCCCATCTTTTTCTGTGTACTACTGAATGGGACAGAACAGCAAGGGAAATTCAGGCTAAACTTTCTGAAAAAATCCAACAACAAAGTCAACCAATGAAAATGATCACCACAAGGGTTGAAAGGTTTCCATCACTACAGTTTCAGACAGATTATTATCAGCATTGCATTCCTTAGGTACAGCTAAATTAAGAAAGAAACCTGCTTTAAGATTATATTAGAAAACATAATGACCCTTGGCCCTGTTAAAAAAATCACTTAATATTAGAAGCATATCTGAGTAAAACCATGAGAATGTGATTTGTTGCTTGTGTTATATTTGATTAACACAAAGGATTTAAGCCTAAACCATAATCAGTTAGTTATTAGCTAGTTAAAGGTGTTTCTCTAAGAAGTTTTGTGTTTCCAGCACATTATAAATTACCATACATGCGCCCTGAAATTCTAAAATTATCTGCAAAGGTGCCAATGGGAGTCCAGTGAGATAACAAGGAGTCACTTGTGAAAGCTGCACCTTCCTTTATTTGAATGGTCTGATCTGTATTCATGTAGTCACTTGACTGATATAAATAAACTTTTACTCATACTTGCAGAGGCAACACAGTCCTGAGAGTTTCTTTACTGGCTTCTGAATCAACAGAATTCTTGACTGAGTGCCAGCAGTAGCTCTCCTAGAGGTACCATGCAAGCCAGAAGAAACACCACTTGACTTTCCATTGCAGGCTGAGCTTGCAGCTAGAATTGGTTTTATTTATAAACATATTGCAGCATGGGTGGCAACTCCAGCAGCAAGGACCAAAAGGCACCAACAGTACCTGACTGCTCGGGCAAATGAAAGCAGCTCAGAACTCCAGAACATCCACAAGCATCTTACTGAGATAACAATTTAATTCCTTATGCTATTTCATCTTACTCATCTTGAGAATGGTAAAGACTGTTCTATTAAGTGCAAACCCCAAAATTTCCAAGCAGTTTACCATACAGCATCTCTAGCACAGTAGCTTACTACTGCTTTGCCTAGGTTCCATCAACAGCACAGGTTGGAAATACTAAATCCAATACCTCCCAGCATAACCACCAATGTACCAGGGAATACCAATTCTAAAAGATGCTGTGAGAAGGAATCCCTAAAAACTTACAACTGTACTTTTTTTTCTCTCAAAGTGCAGTTATCTGCTTCTGGGTACCTGCGTTTCACAGGCACTCAGTTAAATTACTATTAAATGAATACTTCTTGCTGCTCCCACCCCACCATTATCCCCTTGCCATGTGGCTTTAGAAGTTGAGCAAGAATATCAACACAGTGCAATGCATGGAAAATAGGTCCCAAATGACCTAGTGAACCATTCCTCAGAGTGCCTCCTTGCATCTTAAAATAACTTTTGCTTCTGGCTGATAACATTTACTGGTTCTCTTCCAGCCTGAGGCCTTAATTCAAGAAGATAGCCAGCCTTCCACTTAGTCCAGAATAAATGGCTCTACTTGCATGGATCAAGTTCATTGTAAACTTACGTGTTGATAGGAACTATGAAAACAGGCTTCGAGCATGGCATCCATCCACATCACTTCTCAATCACCAAACAAAATGTCCCTGGCCTTCCAAGAAGAACATGCATACAAACACATCAAGTGCTAGGGAGGAAAACAGGACAGACATTTCTCAAATTAATTAATGACTGGATACAAAATGTGCTATTATACTGGAGCTTTAAAGTAATCTGATTGTTTTCATTCCCCATGTAAGATGATAAAGAATAGTTTTGCATTATTAGCAAAATGTGTGTTAAGATATAACATAGAATCATTGGTATAAAAGCCAAGTTTGAAAAGTGCACTTTATCTTCCTGGGATGAAATAAATACGAGATAATGTTCCTACTTTACAACTAGTAATTGGATCCAGTAGAATAATAATTTCCATTTTGAGTGGGAAAAAATTAGAATTATTACTTTTCTCTCCCATATATTTATTGTCCTTTCCCTTGGAGTGGAAGTTATTCGTGTGCCCAAGAAAAATGAATTACTTATATCTGAAAAGTAAGAGATGTTAATGAAACACTGGGGAGAAGCAAAACTGAACAGATCATTCAGAGATCATCTGGCAGGACAGGACTCTGCCCACAAAAAGTAAGGATGTTTAAACCTTGTCACTTGAAGTGTTTAAACAAAAGTAGAAGTTGTTCTGCAAGAGAAAAAAATAAAGGAGACATAGAAGAAAAGTAAATTGTCAGAGAAAGGATTTCGGATGTTAGATACATGAAAATCAGTTGTTTTTCTCTATTTAATTCCTACATATAGAAGTCAGTATAGAGTTTATATTATAAATCACATTAATGAAAAGGATGTTAGAACAAGCAGTCACCTCCAGGAAACAGAGAAAGATTTGTTGATATATTCCCAGAAGCTTTCTTCATCTTCAGGCTGATTCTCAGGCTTCATCCTTCCTGAGAATTTCAGCACAAGTGTTACCTGTTATTTTTAGAACTGACTTCTGAACTCAAGTCCTTGCTTCTGTAATGTTTTCCCTTCCCTAAGCTTTCTGTTAAAAACTTGGGTTTTAGAGAGCACGCACAGAACTCAGAATGCAAAGAATTGTTTTAAAAGCAATATAACACAAAGAGGATACATTTTAAATAAGATTAAGTTCCTCCATTACTTTGTAACTTTTTCCAAAGTACATTATACTAACAGAAGACATAGATTTCTATATTTATTATGTAGTCTTTTCTTTCCATTTTCAGTACACAAGTAACAGTATATTGACTAGGGAAATTATTTTATTCTAAGCATTTTATTATAAACAAGTATCATTATCAAATGCCAACACTTAACGGCCAAGTACCTGTCAAAAAAACTCCAAATATTTCACATATACTCATTTAATCAAAAAGACTAGAGGATGATGGAGATGCTAGATCTCACTTGTTCTTGGGTTTGCCACTAATATTTCCATTGAAACATTAATATGATTTAATGTGTTAGAAATGTACTGTTCATTTCAAAGGATGTGGTATCAGAACTCAGAAGTCCTCTTGGAAGTAAGTTTTGTCAAGGAATAATCAGTGTAGTCTGCACCTCAAACTTTTCTCTTTTTCAGTTTTCCTCTGAACAATTGAAAGCTTTTGTAAACTAAGTATTTCTAAAAGAGAGAGGATACAGAATGACAAAATTTCTGAAGTTCATCATGAGTAAATTCATAAAAAAATTAATCTCTCTCTCTAGGTGTAACTCTCTTGAAAGTCTGAAAGACAACAATTTTTCCTAGCAAACATTCTGTACCAAAAATCAGTGCTACCTGCATTCTTTACATTTCAGCACTGCAATGTCATCTGATAGTCTACAGCCTTCTGTGTAATCCTCACTTGTCCTATTAATTGCTGACATGCATTTTAAACCTGTAATGCTGATGGATAATCCCTAAAAACAGCCTTCACCAGGAAGAGAAAGGAGCAGGGGGATAATACTTTGCCCAGTAACTCTTTGCTTATCATTCAAATAAAATTCATCATTTAACAACTCAGTGTTTATCAACCACATCTTCCTAAAAAAAGTAACACATTGGAAAGCATTAGGCCAAAGCCAAAAAGGTGACCCCAATAGGAAAATGCAAATCTAAAAGCAGAGAGAATCTCAAACTCCAGAGGGTGCATCCAGATTCTCTGTAACCAGAACACAGGATAGTGATTGTGAATAGGAATCATCCCTGTGCTTGCCAGAAGGTGGCAATAATGACGCTGTACTTGCACGGAGAGCTTTAGATTTAGAAAGCTGGGGAGGATTTAAGCATTAAAAAAAAATTTAAAAATAACTTTGTAGAATTGCACTTGTACTGCTAACTTCTTATGGCACTCTTCATTTTCTACTAGCCCCACAGGGGACAGAAGAAAAGTCTCCTGCATCCTGCAGCTGCCTCTCTCGAGTTTTCTAAGAGAAACTCCATGAAGCACAGCAAAGCCAAGACTGGACTGCTTCTCTGATTCTTTTTTAAAAAAATCACACTTTTATACCTACTAAATGCACTACAGAGGTGGTGGATGGCTATCTGTGCAAAACCTAACAAAAACTGAACAAACAATTCCATAGATTTAGGTGACCTTCTAACTCAGTAGAGCATAATTATGTTTATCAGATAAATAAGGCAAACACAATCATGTGAGGAAGCACAAACAAAAAGTAGTAATAAAAGATATTAATCATTTTATCCAGCATAAAATACTGCAACTTTAGGAGGTACAAAAAACTATTTCTTGATCTGCAAAAACACAACACTTTCCAGTGAAATATTAACATAAACCAGTAAGGACCATCCGTTCTTACAGCTCTGGTTTGTTACACATCATGTAGTTTTGGAGGAAAAAAAAATACCCATAACATTGCTCAAAATCCATTTAATATAGTCTACTTCAGCATTTCTTACCAGCAGGATAGAAAAATCTAACTCCTAAAATAAGAAATTTGAGCTACACATGTAAAACAGCAGCCTCTAAAACAAAAGCTTAAACTAATAAAAAACTATACCCATTAAATCCATTTTCAGCACCTTTTTAACCAGTCTGCCCAGCACTTTACTAAACCTGCTTATTACCTGTTCAAGATGTACATGTTGTGTCATGCTAGAAAATCATAACTCCATTGAAGTAACAAGCTTGAGCTACACAGCTAGTAAGTAGCCTCTGGGACTAGCACAATATTAAACTAATAAAAAAATTTATATCCATTAAACCCACTTTCAGCACCTTTTTAACTTTTCAAGACGGATATATTGTGTCAGGGACTAAAACAGATTAATAAATCCTGATGGCCCTGGACAGTTTCCCCAGGCACATTCTGCCACTACCTGCAGTCCAGAGCTTTTATCCTAAAAATTAACCGTAAAGATACTTTGCTACTAAAGTAGCCGGCTCTAACCACCCAGCTGTTACAGGATACTTTGCAGCTGAGACAGCCACAATACAGAGTATTACCATTCAACATCAGAAGGTTTCAGCCCATCCAGAGTATCATCACATCAGAAAGCTTCAGGCCACTGCCCATACAGAGCAACACCTCAGAAGGCTGCAGGCATCTGCCCTCCTTGTCCTTCAGCCCAGCCTTTTATACCCTCATGCTGATGCACTGCCCCTGTGTGCCCTCTGCTCCCTTTGGTGGTTGCTCAGTGCCCCTGGGCACTCCCTGGCTCATCGCTGTCAGTGCTGCTCACCTGCTGCTCACAGCTGTGCCCATGGGGATGAGGCTCGGCCCCAGCCCCACTCCCAATTCCCACAAACTCTGCCCACACTCAGCTGTTTCTTGTTGGGGTTCGTTTATTTAAGGACATGCACCTGAAGCACAAATGGTAATTTGCTTGCAAAGAGAGGTCGTTAGGTAGGTAGGTGTCTTGTTTTTTATACTGTTGCTAAAGTAGCTCTATTAAACTCAATTTTCATATCTGAAAAAGACTTATAATTCCACATGATAAAGAAGCTTCCAGAGATTTTTTTTTACTGTATATAACATATATCACAAGTGAAAGTTCAATTTGCTGTATCTTTTGTTATATCAGTTTTTCCTGATTAACAAGATCTTCTTAACAATCCAAGTTTAAAAGCAGTAAATTCAATTTCCCCAGTAATAAAATTCAATTAAATAAAAACAAAAGACAGCAAGATAAAACAAGCCTCTTTTCTTGAAATGTCCCTAAGCACCCATAAAGTGGAAAAAAAAGCAGCTGTTTACACACTAAAGAGGTGCTAGATAGCCAACAGTGACTTATTGTTATGAGTGTATATGGAAAGAAAAGGAGTCTGCCTGCTTTAAACAATATAAAAGTCAACAGTATAGTAATGAAATGTTAAACTATTTTAAAATGTGTGTAGTAGGTTTGTACCAGGGAGCAAGAACTGGTTTTCCTCTTTAACTTTGGCTTAATATTCTTAAGGTCTGACCCTACAAAATCTTTAATTAAAACTAATTTTCTGTCTATGAGGAAATCTAGTTTTTTACAGACACTGGTGAACAAATGCCTCAGAAACAGGCTGCCTTTTCAACCCAAATAGCTTCAGCATTGACTAAAATATCTAAAAAAAGTAGTTTATTTCTGAAAAATCAGCAAAGAAGGCTTAGGAACTTTATTAATTATCATCTGGCTCTGCATAGCATTGTTTCTGGCATGTTTTTAGTGCAAAAAATACATACTCCATCCCATAAATTTAAACATAATTCTGCTTTCCTGCCATGTTTCTCTAAAATACACATTTATGGAAGAAATCCACTCAAAGAGTAGAAGAAATATTTGGTACAATTCATTGGAGCAGGTAACTAATTTGAGAATCATTAGTGCATAAAGAAAAATCAGAAGGTCACATTCAAAATGTTAAGTAATCAAAAAATGCTACTTACTTCAGCTTCACAAAACAGGTCACACTGCAAGTCATGTAGCCATTACCACTATAATATACAGGATTATAGTAATTCATACTTATTTTTAAAATAAAACTAACTAATTTAATACCTTACAGTTGTGACTATCAATTCATTAAATGTTTTGTATTCTGTGGACGATTAGCTATTGGACAAAATCAAGTTAGCTCTAGGGTTTAGCAGGCTGTGTAAATAAAATCACGGGTTGGGGATTTTTAAAGTAATTTCTGTAGAAATATGTCTGAGGATCTTTTAGTATTACTACCCTTTTTTCCCCTTGGTACAACTGTAAAAATGGCCAACATGGGTCGTGTGCTTGCTGTGTGTGATCCAAGTATGCAATGTTTCTGACACCATAATTAGAAAAACACAATTTAGGAGCCCAATTGTGGAATTCCTTCTTTACTTTGCGCCTCCGTGTGGCCGAGTCCCTCACACAGAGCGGATCCCGCTGCTACCACAGTCCGCATTTGTCATTGAAAACACTCACCTAACTGCAATATAGTTGGCCCAGCTGAGCCTGAAAAATTGTAAATACGCATCAAAAGTATTACACCAGCTGAGCTAGTCGGATAATATCAACTTGGATTTACACTTTGGTTTCCCACGAAGATGGGGGAAATCCGCACGTTTTAACGCGACTATTTGGGAATCTTTCGGCGCTTCTGAGCTGCCGTGAGGAGAGGCGCCGCCTGAGGGAGCCGTGCCGCAGAGCCCAGGGAGCCTCACCCAGCTAAACCTGCTCGATGTACCGGCGGCTGCGCGTACGCACAAAGACCCAGAGCCGCCTTTCCCTGTTCCATGGGGGTGTATAACCCCATTCCCGGCGGTAGGTGTGTGACGCGTGTCAGAAGGAGCAGACACCGCCCTCACTCCGCCCCGGGGCGGGCCCGCTCCGCCCCGTTCCCGAGCACGTCCGGGTCGGGCGCTGCCGTGAGGGGAAGTGCGCGCGGCGGCCCCGGCCCGGCCAGCGGCGGCTCCGGCAGCGCTGTCGCCAAGATGTCGCGGGGCTCCATCGAGATCCCTCTCCGGGACACCGACGAGGCGAGTCGGGCGCGGGGAGGCGGCGGGGCAGGGCGAGGAGGGCGATCCGTGCCGCGGCGGGGGCAGGCGCCGCTGCCGCCCGAGGTCGTGCCCCGGGCTCGGGGCGCGGGTGTCGCTCGCAGCCGGGGTCGCAGGTGTGTGCCCGGCCGCGTTCGCCGCCGCTTTGCTGTGTCAGGGGCTCCTGGTGTTCCTCAAGCAGCCCACAGACACGGGCAGGGCAGAGGAGCCTCTCTGTAAAGTTATTTCACCGTGGAGCTAAAAACTTAATTTAACTTTTCTGTATTTAAGGTACACTGTCACAAGTGTACAAAGAAAGATTAGAAAGGTTTAGAAGAAGTATGTAGAGATTTGCAGCATATAACAAAGTTTGCCATTAAATCGTGCCATGGCACATACTAAATTTATAGTGTGGCTAAGTAAGGTGTTGAAACATAATGCTTACATGTTGAAGAATATTCTCTGTGAATTTCTATCTGCCTGCTTTCCTGTATACATACACATATCATACATGTATGAACACATATATACATGTACACAGCGACATTCATATGCACACAAATATATATACAGAAACAAATTTCTATATGGCTGCCATTGAGGTTTTAAGTCTCACAAAATTGCTTTATTCTATGGTGTTTACATGTTCAAGGGCAGTTTCTTCTGTGACAAAAATTTCTGTCTGAGGTGTCAACGTGAATTGTGAACTTAGTTCAGGCTAGAACTACTTGGATCTGAATTAATTACTAGGGAATATAATAAAATACCCCTCCACTCACCCCTGCTCTTTTTTACTTCCATGTTTATTTGCTGTGTTGGTAATATCTATTTCTCATGCATAACTATTTTAGTTGATGGATGAGGGCCATTATCTGTGAGACAGGAGGTGCTATGCAAGATAAACTGAGTCAAAGTTAAGCAGAAATATTTTTGCTAAAGTCTTGTATTGTCAAAACTAGAAGCCTTTGTAAACTGAATTGATCTAATTCAGCCTACAGAGGAGTCCCTGCATTGGTAATTAGGGACTGATTACACAACAACTGCACTTCTTTCTTGCTGTAAAATTAACTTATAACGCAGATGACTAATTATTAAAGACAGCATGGCTGAGTAAGGTGAACTAACAAGCAGTTAAATTGTCTTCCCAAATATCCATCTGGGGAGTACCTGTTCCTTTTTCCTCATAATATCAGAAGATTAGATCAACATGGGAGATCCTCACAAAACAATGCCCGAATGATGAAAAGTTCTTGATGTCATTTGCTAATCATATCTACAGTTGTAAGTATTCATAAATTTAGCTGCTTTAATAGTCTCTTAATTTCCTAGGGCATAAAGATGACTACACAATATTTCAGGAATCTAAGTCTTAGGTATTGATTTTTTGACACCAGATGACTTGGAAGATTTTGTCTCTGAGGTAGATCTCTATATTACCTGTAGGAAAAGTTTTTGAAAGTCAGCAGAGCGCAGTCAAGTTGACTATTAGCTGATTCTGAGCATCAAGTCTATAGTGAAAGAAGTTAAATTCAGATCTCTGCTTATTTTCCCTCACTTGCATCCCAAACATCGGTTTGTCTTTTCTCTAAAGAGAAGCCATCACTTTTATCTTGTGCAGAATGTAATATATGATCTCTCCTTTCTTTGTCCATAACCTTGTTTGAACACAAATAATTATTTATGTTTTGTGCTCTGACAGGTCTAGTTTCCTTTGAGCTCAATGACTGACAACTTTTTTTCATGCGTTGTGAAAAGATGATCTGTGTTGTTTGGTTCTAGGTTATTGAGCTTGACTTCGATCAGTTGCCTGAGGGTGATGAAGTTATAAGTATACTGAAACAGGAGCACACCCAGCTGCACATATGGATTGCCCTAGCGGTCAGTACAGATACAAATTGTGTATTTAAATACTGTATTCACACAATCACATCATGATTTCCAGTTCCCTGCTCTTATGACCAGTGATAACTGAGTTCCAAACAGGTACTTTATGGGGTCATTCAGTCTTTGATTCTAGGCCAGATGTTTCTGATTGACATATGCATATTAGGATTTTAATTTAATCTTTTTTTCCTGAAACAATGCCTGATGAGGGTTACTTTCTGTGTTTTTTCCCCCTCAATCCACAGTTTTCCTGGTTTGTGACTTTGATTACATGCTTAATAAAAAAGGAGGGGGCAGTATCTATACTTTATGTATATTTATACTTTATCTTTAATGGTAAAATATTAAAAAACTTCAGAGGAAGAACAGTGGATTCTTCTTATAAATAGCTCAAAAAGTTGTGTTTTAAGGTAGTCAGGCACTGGAACAGGTTGCCCTTAGGAGTTGTGGATACCCCATCCCTGAAAGTGTTCAAGGGCAGGTTGGATGGGCCTTTGAGCAACAGGAAAGTGTCCCTACCCATGGCAGGGCAGTTGGAACAAGATTATCTTCAAGGTCCCTTCCATCCCAGGCTGTTCAGTGATTCTAGGACAGAAAAATACTTGGCATTACCAGAAAACCTTTCTCTGACGATACCTACATTTATTTCTGCTTTATCCCTACATCCTAGGAAAAGGGTCTGTGTGATAGCTAAAGCATCAGCTTGGTATGTTCTGTACTCACTGGGGTGGTGTTGTCTGTTAAAACTGGGTTTTGTAGCTGGAGTACTACAAGCAAGGCAAAACAGAAGACTTTGTGAAGCTGCTGGAAGCTGCCCGCATCGATGGCAACCTGGACTACAGAGACCACGAGAAAGATCAGATGACATGTCTGGACACTCTGGCAGCCTACTACGTACAGCAGGCTCGGAAGGAGAAGAACAAAGACAACAAGAAGGAGCTTATCACCCAGGCCACCCTGCTGTACACTATGGCTGACAAAATCATCATGTATGATCAGGTAAAACAGATATCTGATCAAAAAAAACATTTTTGTATATTAGTGATTGTAAAGAAAATATATTTTACAATGATAAATGTATTGCAAATTTTTTCACTTGTCTAGAATCACTTGTTGGGAAGAGCCTGCTTTTGCCTGCTTGAAGGTGATAAGATGGACCAAGCTGATGCACAGTTCCACTTCGTGCTCAACCAGTCTCCAAATAATATTCCTGCCCTGCTTGGTACGAGTTTCTGGATATTTGTAAAAACCTGGTCTCTTTGGCTGAGTTTTGAAATGAGTTATGTGCTTAAGAGGGTGTGTGTAGAGAGAATATGATCAAGACATACATGACAGAGACTAATTCAAATTTGGGAAGTATACATAGGTGGAAGAGCTAGGACGAATGCAATGCTAACTGGCATCTTCCGAGACCCAAGGGCATATATCGAGTCCAGCTATTTATGCTTCCCTAGTGGTGGCAATAATGCTGGACACTCTGTTAAGGGTGAAGTTACCACTTGTGAGGGGTCAGCAGATTGTAACACTTGTAATTTAAGTTGTTCACTAGTCTCAGTAATTGTCTTTCCTCTGGACCAATAAGGAATTAAGTTTCTGCAGAAAAATATGAAAATGTAAATTTAATGTGTTTACATGTTTTCTTTTTTCATATACTTGACAAATGTACATCAACAAATGTAGAAAAGTTGTCCGAATTTTCTGTTAGTTTTTAACTGTAACTTTTGAAAATAGGCACAGCACAAGTTAAGCAAATAATACTTGAGTTTCTGGTTTATAATCTTGGTTTTATTCCTGGTATGTTCTAACAGGTAAGGCATGCATTTCTTTCAACAAGAAAGATTATAGAGGAGCCCTTGCCTACTACAAGAAAGCACTGCGTACCAATCCAGGCTGCCCAGGTAAGGCATAAAGTATTTGCTACTGGAGGTATTTGCTCTGCTTGCAAACTAACTCAGGCCTTCCTAATTCAAATTCAAAGGGCATTTTTGTGGTCTATATCTGTCAAAAGAACCCCAACCCTCATTGTAGAGGGATTTAGGCATTCATTGACTTGAAGTATTTCTTAACATATAGAGAAAAAAATTGTGCTTAGGAAAATACTGTTCTTTTTTGGAGTATTACCTTTTAAAGAGGTATTAGAAAATGAGATTTTGCATATAAGAGAAATTAAAGTTGTATGGAGAGGGAAGGAACTGTTCAAGACTCTTGCAGAATTTTTCTGTAAGCTCTTGGAAAAAGGCTTCAGAAATGACATAACAATAATGAAACAAGACATAACAAGCAAATTTCTACTTATAGTGCATGATGTGAGTTTTCCTGGTCTTTTAATCACAGCTGTGATTAAAAGCTGAGGCACTGAAAGATGTTTTGTGTTCTTCCTAAGAAATATATAATCTGTGCTTTACTTCAAACTGTTCTCACAACTTTGTTGTAAAAGTTAGTGTAACATTATTTTCTTTATGCAAAAATCTGGGAAAGTAAATTTTAATGGCTGTACAAAATGATACATGGGATTTAGATATATTAATTCAATGTATTACAGTATATTCAGTAATTCATATAAATACAGTAATTCAAGGTATTTACGGTAGGAACATAATTACTTGAAAGTCTCTTGACAGATGTGATATACTTTGCCATAACTTGTCTGAGAAAAGGTTTATTGCAAACTTGATGTGTGTTCTGTGGTCTGCTTTATCATATTGATTGCTACAAAAGCCTTCCTTTTCAACCAACATCTTTCCTTTGCTCCCGTTTTTCTAATGGACACAGGTTTGAAACTGCTGTTTATAAATTCTCTGTAGATCACAAGCAGTCTGAAAGGGCAGTATGATGTGAATTTTATGTATTAGTAGATCTATACTTTGTTATGGAAGCTGGAGGATGATAAACAGCATGTGA